GTGTATAATATTTTTTCTTCTCCCCCCTGCAGGGAGTGGATCAGGGTCCCGGCGGACTGAAGCTGATCTCAGATGTGATCCGGGAGAAGCTCGGGATACAGATCAGCGTTCTGATGGGGGCAAATATCGCCAGCGAGGTGGCCGAAGGGAAGTTCTGCGAGAGCACCATCGGTAAGATCGGCGATAGGAGCCGCGCAGATCTCCGCCATGGTCACGGTTCACCATTCTCACCATCAGGGCCACAGCAATGATGTGCAGCCAACGTGGAGAGCGCGCATATAGACAGGAAGTGAGCGAAGGGAAAAAAGTTACATTTAATGAAAATAATTCCGTTGTTTCTAATAACAGAACACAAGAAATGTCGTCCGGGTCACATCCACACAACTCATGTATAGAAGATGGAGGTAATAACGGGGGTGTTGGAGCTCCGCCATGAACTGCCCTGTGGGGTGGAGGTGACAGGTTCTCTTACAATGAGATGGTTGATGTGTTGGAGTCACAATGACATTTCCGTCCTCCAGGTTGGGAGGGAAGATTATTGATATATAATTGTGTTTATTACACATTGCCTTCCAGGTGAACCTTCCATTCGTGCCATCCTGGCCCCCGGGGGCCGATCACACGTCTTGGTAGGACACGCCCCCTCTAGGTGACTCATTTACATATATAATGAGTCCGATTACTGACTTCCATGAGACGTAAGAATAATACGGCCCCAGCAGGCCGCATTCAGATGTTATGTGCCGTCAATCGGGGGTCTGGGTGACTGCAGGAGGGATCTAAAGGTGGAGGGGCAGAACAGGGTACTGAGGGTGGAGGGGCAGTAGGGGGTACTGAGGGTGGAGGGGCAGAACAGGGTACTGAGGGTGGAGGGGCAGAACAGGGTACTGAGGGTGGAGGGGCAGTAGGGGGTACTGAGGGTGGAGGGGCAAAACAGGGTACTGAGGGTGGAAGGGCAGAACAGGGTACTGAGGGTGGAGGGGCAGTAGGGGGTACTGAGGGTGAAGGGGCAAAACAGGGTACTGAGGGTGGAGGGGCAGAACAGGGTACTGAGGGTGGAAGGGCAGTAGGGGGTACTGAGGGTGGACGGGCAGAACAGGGTACTGAGGGTGGAGGGGCAGAACAGGGTACTGAGGGTGGAGGGGCAGTAGGGGGTACTGAGGGTGGAGGGGCAGAACAGGGTACTGAGGGTGGAGGG